TCATAAATCCTGGGGTCATCTTCTGCATTATCATGTGCATTTATGTGTAGATGTTCAGTTGTTAAATTATAGCTCTGCAAAAATGGTTATTTTTGCTGCTTTTTGGGGGGTGGGGTGGAACATATACAAAGGGCATTGGAAATAGAAGCACCTAGACCTCTCCTGACTCAGAGCCCATGAGATGGGCGAGGTGTTTAAGGGCTGCTATTTTGCAGCTCAGCAGCTGATTCACACCCAGCCTTGCTGGTGTCATCTCTGAGTCTGTTCCCTAACCTCTCTTTTCCTCAGTTCTCCCGTAATCTGGCTGGTGGCTTTGAGGTTTTAATGAGGTAATGTGTATACCAGCTCTTCATTCCTGTTAAGGGAGAAATCAAAGAAACCAAGAAGAGCCTTTATAGTCAACAGCATGATACTGGTAAGCAAACTAGGAATAAATGGTCTGAGAACACATCTGTCCAGGTGTGCGGTCTCCCCCCACCTCAGTAACCCTACTATGCACAGGTACATATGCTCTGTTCATGACACAGGAGCATGGAGCAGGGGTAAGTCACTTAAGCTGCTCTGACATAGGAGTTGGGCCCTCTGAGAGGTCCTGCTTAGAGAAGCGGGCATGGAAGTGGCTGCGGAGGGAGCTGACGTGTGGAAGGAGCCTCAGTCTGACTGCAGTCTGTGCCTTGACCACTGGGGATGAAAGTGTCATCTTCAGTCTTTCCTGGTCTCATTCTCCTCATAGGTCACTCTATGCAAATGGACCGGTGTACATCAGCTGAGGGACAGTCATCAGGTAGAACAGATGTGAGAGTGCTGGCTTCAGAGAAGGAATGGCCACTCGTGACACCCTGGAAATGGCTCTTGGAATGTGCTGCTCCTAAGGCTAACTGCTAGCTACAACCTCCCCTAGTTCCTGCCCTGAGCATCACAGATAAGAAGAGCTCTGGAAATAGAACTGAAACTCTGGTTTCCAGAACCAGGTCTGATGGGAGCTGTATGACTTTGAGGCCTGTGCCCTCTGAGGATGGCAAGGAAGGTTTTTTGTTTCCCTGTTCTTTGGTCCTAGGATGTTTCCAGGTTGGGGCTCAGCCCTGACTTTCTACGGGGAGAGGCTCTTTACGTCTATGAGTTAGAACATCAGCATCTTGGGCCCCAAATAGAAAGCTCTTCTTGCTCCTCAGATAATTCAGGGTGTTGCTATTCTCTGCCTGCCCTCATACCCAATCAGCCTGACACCCACTACCAAGATCATTTAGTCACACTGATAATAATCAGAAGTCATCAGTGGCTCCCTCACTTCCGTCTAAAAAGGAAGGATGGAATTATAGGAGATTGGAAAGATAACAGGAAAGGCCCTGAGCCAGGGGCAAAATCCTTGAGCAGGGTGGGAAATAGAGTGGTCATTAGTGGATAAACTGAAGAGGTTAGAGAGAAGATGGTTCAGGAGAGGAGGATGAGCTATGTGAAGGAGTAAGTGTCCACCCACCACAGTGGCCTCGGCGAGGTCCCATAAAAGGGGAAGAGGGGTGAATGCAGATGCTCACAGAAGTGGGAAGTCAAAGAGGCTGAGCAGGAAGGGACACTATTTGCAATGGATGGGCCTTTTGGTGAACCCAAACATGGGGGTGGGGGGATTAGAGATCATGGGGCCTGGGCCAGGAGGGAGAGTCTGTGGATACAGGTGACCCTAAAATGGTTGAGTGGCAGGAAATAACTGGGTTGTGACTGAATATCTCCAGGAGATAAAATAGGTGAATAGGAGAGGCTTGGGAAAGAATGGACTGGGAGATACAGAGAGGATGTTGCAATGACAGGAAGGAAGGAGAGGAAAGAAAGAACATTTAAGGAAGGACCTTTTCCACTAGGATCTTGGAGGAGAGCTCAGGAAGGATTTCCTGGAACTGGCACACTCATGCCCACCTCACCCACATAAGTAAAGGTACCTGGTGCCTCCCACAACCTGCTTGCTACAGAATAGTGAGGTACAGACCATCCCCACAAAACCCTTGGACTTCACCTGGTGATAACCCTGCTTCCAATCCCTCCCAAAACAACCTAGCTGGTGGAGACATGGGAGCTGGGCTACTCTTCCACACACCTGCTGCCTTACCTGGTCTTGCTGCCATCACTCAGGACATGAAGGCTGCAGCTGCACTGAGAGGGGCAGGAGCCCTGGACTTCGGGGACCACCCCGAGACCCAGGAGCCAGAGCATGCCGACTACCACCCTCATGGCTCCCAGCTCCTCTGCGGCCCACACAAGGCCTTTTTCTGGACTCCTTTGCCAACCCAGCAAACCCAGCAGCTTCCTTCTGGCTCATCACTCTTCCTCAACCCCTCACCCCCACTGTCTGCCTGAAGCCAGAGGATAAACACTAACAGGCTGGGGATTAAGGAGGGGAGCCAGGGTCACAGCACTCAGCAGCTTACTGCTTTCTGGAACTACCCAATTCGGAGGTGGGGTTTTCATCCTCTGTCACAATAGCCCAGGGTCAGAAAGCTCAGGTCATGGCAAAGTTGGGCAGCTGGGCAACCCCCAGGGGCAAATGGCTACTGCAGCAGTCAACTGAACTGTCCACTTGCAAATCCATCCAATGCCAACCCATATGTGGTCTGCACAGACACCACCAGAGCACCAGGATTCAGAATCCTAGGTAGTGGGGAAACTGAAGACTTGCGCCTAAGGAAATTCTCTCCTGGAACACTAACCCAAGTGAAAAGCAATGAGATAAAGGCAGTGAAGGCATCAGCAAGAGCCACATACTGGGGCCACCTGGTTCAAATCCCAATTCCTTGTTCACAGGCTGTAACTTTGGAGAGGTCCTCTGACAAGGAGCAACTCTTATAGTGTAACTCTGTTAGGAGGGTTTATGAAAATTTGTCAATCCAAGTTTGCCAGACTGTGGGAACAGAAGCTTTTGAGAGAGTAATAAGAACCTAGTTATTCAGGCACTTACAAACACCTGCTCTTGGAAGAGCTGGAAAAATTCAGTTATTTGGAGGAGACCTCAGAGGTGTCCCCCACAGGCATATAAGCTCTCCCATTCTGCCTTGCAAACAGCAGTCTCCTCGGAAAGCCCATGGACACCAGTTTCAGAACTCTGCCATCAGAGCAAGCCCTTCTGGGCATTGCCAACTCTGCTAAAGGTAAGGGCACAGTGCCTGTTTCCCCAGGGAACTGTACGCTGGGGAGGGTCCACAGTCTTCAGAGAAGGCCCTTTCCATTTTTACCCACTTCCTCTCACCTAATCTCACGATAGATACAGCCTTTTACTCATTCATACTTCATATTTGACCCCACAGCTTTGCTTTTTGGTCCAGCATGTTTTTGTTTTTTTTTTTAACCTATTCCTTAAGTTTTTCCAGAGGTTCCTTAGTCCCTTGTGCCCATAAGCCTAGGCAGCCCTGGACCAGTGAACGATGACTGACACAGATGACCTGGCCCCCCAGTGCACATGTCAAGTGCCTTGCTCTGCACTAGCCCTAGTCTGACAAAGGTGCTTCCAGGAAATGTCAGTTCCCCTCCCTTCCTCTCTTCCAACCCAGCCAATATATTTTCCTCAGTGCTTCCTATTTGTGCCTCCTCCTAAAACCAAAACCCTGCCCAGGTCCTCATCTCTGCCTTTCCCCCTTCTGTTGGAGGTGTGTCTGGCTCTCTTATGCCTCGTTGACCTCTAACCTCCATTCCCAGCCCTGTCCTTGTTCTTCTCCTTTGACATATTTCGGTATCTTGCACATATGAAAAAAAGAAACTTGACATATGTATGAATCAGTAATATAAGATAGAAATCTGGTAAGGGCAGGGAAGATGCTAGGGCAACTGGGTTATCCAGGAAGACTTCCAGGAGAATGTAAGCTCAGCCCACACACTGGACAGGCTGGGGTAAGTGGGGACACAAGAGGAGAGGCATGGGAAATGGATATTTATGCCACAGAGCTCATTGCTTGACCAGGGTCTGGGGGACAGCTGACCAGATTTTTGTTCCAGCATCATCACTATGTGACCTCAGGTCAAGTCTTAACTGTTCGAGCCTCAATTTCCTGTGAAATGGGAGGGATGATGTTATCTCATTCATGGACTTGTTGGAACAGCATCATTTAACACAGTGTCTGTTCCTTAGCAACACTCAGTAAGCATCAGCTAGATTGCTAGTTTCACAGATTCTGGTCTTTGGATTTTTTTTATGTGAAAAATGAGTTAAGTTGCTCTAGAGTCATGTTTTTGATACAGATATTATCATAAGCCAGTGTATAACTTGTACCAACATTTTGTTTGTAGAAGCCCAAGCACCTAGTATGTCATGCTTACTTCCGAGAAGACAATACAACCTCTGGGTTGTACTAAAAATTGGGAAATTTTTATGTTTGTGTAACTTAAGGGTTCAGTGAGAAACAGGGCAGTACAGCCCCAAAGGTTTTATTCATGATGGATTCTTTTCACCAAGATGTATATAGGCCATGGAGAAAGTTGCTTTCGTTGCAAAGAGAAACGGGAAGGCATTCCCATTTGGTGATGACTTCTGAACCACCATCCTTCCCCATCGCTTGTGAACACCCACTTGTGAGCTTCTGAACACACACACGCACACATACGCACTCAGGCCTTTGGCTTGGTATGGAAGGGCCTGGCTCTTAACCAATTCTCAGCCACAGCTGTCGTTCAGCTCCCTCCTTTTGCTCAGCCACCCTTCCCTTGGTTATGCAACTCTTTTATAATTCAGATCTCAGCCACAGACCACTCCAATTCTAGATCCCTAATCCTGCCCAGTGCAGATAAAATGAACGAGACAGGGCTCCATTCCAGCTTTACAAAGGCTGCTCTGTCCAAATGGTGAATGGGCTCCTTATGCTTGGGCCCAGAGGATGATTTGGAGACTGGGAACAGCAAGAAGGACCCCAAAGTCTGGCATAATCACCTGCATGTGCCAGCACGTGGGATAGCCCATTAAAAGGGAAGGGCCTGACTTTGGGCCTCCAGAGAAGAGCTGGGCCAGCAGGGAAACAGCCAAGATGGCACAGTCTGGGACCCTACCCACAGGCTTCAGGGAGGTGGAGGTGCTGGCAGTGGGGACAGTGCTGCTGGTGGAAGGTGAGCTGGACCTGGGGTGAGCGGGGATCTAGGGGCTCCCAGACCCAGTCCAAAGCTATGCAGCTTCAAGGAAAAGTCATCATGCCCTATGCCTGTGCCTGGCACCATTAGATCTGATGGCTTCCCATGTGGGATAAGCCTGAAGGCTGGAAACCCTGACACAGAGGCCAGGCAAGGCTCAGAGAGGGAGGGACTTTGAAAGGGGACATGACTGAGTATACCAGGCTTCAGGTCTTTTATGACCCTTCAACCTGGAGGAGCTTAGTCTACTCCCTGTGCTTTGGGTCTCTGCCTGGTGTCCTGGGTCACTCTGAGTCCTGACTTGGCTTCTGTTTTCCAATACTCTCCTTGATGCTGCTACACAGCCCTTACAGAAAGCATTTTGGAATCCAAAGGACTTGAGTTCAAATCCAACTCCACCAATTACTAGTTGCTTACTTAGCATAAGTTGGTCAGCATCACTGAGCCTCAGTTTGCCTCCCCAATGGGAAGGACAACCCAAGCGTAGGGTGAGCTGATCTACATCCAGTGCTTAGCCCCCTGCCTGGCGCATGCTCGGCAGCTGACCATCATGATGATTGTCCTAGCAGAGACTCTGCTAATGTTTTGTTAGTTTCATCCTTGTCTGTCTTTCCCTTATACTGTAAGTTGGTAGAGGGCACGTGTGTGTTTCTCAGCTCTTGGGACTGGAAAACCAGCCAGCTCACCTCATTAGTGTTTGATGAGCTACACTAACATGGCTGCTGAGCCTGAAAGGGGCAGTTACTGTGGATCCACCCAGCCTCAGCACCTGAGTTTGATCCCAGGTATGCTTCTGCAGCCCTGATGTCAGCTCATACCCTTCTTTTCAGCTCTCTCCGGTCTCAGTCTCAACAGCCTGACCATCTTCTCCTTCTGCAAAACCCCAGAGCTGTGGACACCCAGTCACCTGCTGGTGCTGAGTTTAGCACTCGCGGACAGTGGGATCAGCTTGAACACCCTTGTCGCAGCCACATCCAGCCTCCTCCGGTACCAGCCACCTCCCTAGGCCCAGGGCTCTGAGTCCTGCCTGGGCCTGACCTCTGAGCACCAGCCACCAAGCCAGAGAGGCACCCTTCCCACTTATAGGAAGCCAGGATAGAGAGGCAGAATCAGGCTAAATCTGAATTCTCTTAGCCGCTTTCAGGAAACAGAAGTTATTCATCCCAAACAACAGAGCTGGCTGATGGTGAGGGTTACGAGCATGGACTCTGTAACCAGCTCCCTTAGGTTTGAATCCTGGCTCTATCTTTTCTCTCTTTTGACTTCTTTCCTAAACTGAATATCATTGCCTAATTCATATGGCATTGAAAGTATTGACTTGTCATTACTTGTAATAACTTGAAGCACAGCTTGGCACCTAGGAGGTGCTAAATAAGTGTTTGTGAGAGCAAATAGGATTTTGGCAAGAGTCTAAGAGCTCATGTGCAAACCAGGGCCTTCCAGCATGGCCCCAGAAGGTGCTTACAGTTTGGATTTCCTATATGAATTAAACATTCCTCTTCTGGTTTGGGGGTACAACAGAGAACTGAATGTGTATGCTCAGAGCCCGCTACTCTGTAGGGTCTGAATCAGTGAGGACCCATCCCTTGCCCTGGTCTCCTCCTTCCCTGGCCAGCTTGGGGCGGGGGGGAGCAACCACAGCCCAAGGAAGTTGAGAGATGCAAGACCTGGGCTTCACCTACTTTGTCTTCAGCTGCTGTGTGACCTTGTCTTGGTACCTTTCTCTCTCTCAGCTTCATTTCAACATCTGTAGATTAAAAGCAAGAACTGTCCTTCAGCCAGCTCCATTTCCTGCAGAGAGAGGCTTTGTTCCAGCCACTAAGCCAAAAAAGAGCAGAGCCTGCAAATTTTGTCTGGGGCTCTACTCTGTCAGCCCCTGACTTTAACTCTAGGGCACCAACTTGGCACTGGCACTGATATGTTTCCTCTTAGGAAAAGCAAAGTAAAATTGCTCTTAGGGGGTGGTGCCTTGCAGGAAGCTGCTGAATTGGTGTGGCAGGAAGACAAGGTCAGAGGGCAGAGGTCACTGGAGCCCAGTGTCTCCCACAGGCGCTGGCCCTACGGCTCAGATGGCTGCCAGGCCCACGGCTTCCAGGGTTTTGTGACAGCGCTGGCCAGCATCTGCGGCACTGCAGCCATTGCCTGGGGACGCTATCACCACTACTGCACACGTGAGTCTCCTCTTTGGGCTCCCTGAGTGGAGGGACACCTACTTAGTGAGGCGGATGGGGTTGGAGGCTGCTGGGTGTTTTCCTGGTTCAAGGGAGTAGGGGCGGGTGAGTGTGCCCCAATGTGGGGTGGAGAGGAGGGAAGTCAGGAGAGGAGGGCAGGTGGGAGAACTTGTAAGTGGTGTTGAGGCAGAAGCTGGAAAGGTTGTTTGTACCCTCATTGCAGCCCCTGGCAAATCAGAGGTCCTCTAGAACCTTAGTCTCCTCTCTGAGAGGATGTCTGTAACCAACCCCATGGTTTTATTTTGCAAATCAAATGAGATCATGAATACAGATCTTGCAGAGGCATTGTTGGGAAGAAGAGAGTTTGTGTGTGTGTGTGTGTGTGTGTGTAACTGTGGCCCACACTTCTTTCTTCCATGGGGTATCTGCCATGCCAGGGCTTCAGAAAGACTCGTCTAGCTCTTGATTCCTACATTGCATCGTCAAATACTACCTACCTCATAATTGACAGCACCTACTCTGTTATTTCCTTGAGATTTTCCCTTTCAAAGTGACTCACTTGAAACCACTTACATGCTGTCTTTAGCCTCATTTTAAATAATGCCTGTGGAAATCACACCTTTCATGTTCTTATCATTTTAACACACATTAAAATTTTAAGAAATGATTTTACCTAGAATGGATAGAATAGAATACTGTTCAGCACATAGTTAGGTAAACGTACTTTAGGGAGACATGCTGCAGGGAAACCTCGCAGCAACCCCAACTTGCAGACTGGGAAACAGAGGCTCAGAGAAGTTTAGTAGCTTGCCCAAAGCCACAGAGCTAGCAGGACAGCTAGGACTGGGCATGGCCTGGACGCCTCCAGAGGCAGTCGCTCCCTTATTTTCTTGGCCCAAAGTCCTGAGTTGAGGACTTGCCTGCCATGGAGCAAGTCCTTGGGGTTCATGAGCATGTCCCAAAGCCCTGGACATGGGGCTTTTGACATCTACAGCTCCATCCCTGCCACAGACAGGCAGCCGCCTCCCCTTGGCCTCTCTCCAGGTTGAAAAATTGCCTTTGTTCTTCTCACTTCTAGTAGAGTCAGCCTTTCCTGCTCCACCAGACTTGGATTTCCTCTCCTACTGATCCTATACCAGCCCTGCCCACACCTTCTCGAGAGCAGGCTTCTCTACCTCAATACAGAGTTAATTCCTATCTCAGGGCCCCTAAGTTAAAGCCTTTCCTGGGAGGGGAGAGACAGAGGCCCAGCTTCTCTGTTCCATTAATGGGGACCTTGGTATGCCACCTTGGTGTTTCCAAATTGAAGAGGTTCCAGGGCCAAGGGAGTTAATTATTGTACCCATCGTGGGAGACAGTCTACTCAGGGAGCCATAATAAAATACCATAGCCTGTGTGGCTTAAACAACAGAACATCATTTCTCATAGTCCTGGAAGTTGGAGTCCAGACTCAGTCCTGGTGCATGCACCCTTCCTGGCTTGCAGGCGGCTGCCTTCTTGCTGTGTCCTCACATGGAAGAAAACTGGAATTCTGGTCTCATCCTCTTATAAGGGGACCGATGCCCTCGTGGAGGATCCCAGGCTCACAACCTAGTTACCTCCCAAAGGCTCAATACCAAATAGCATAACATGAATAGGGTTTTCACATAGGAACTGGGGGGCTAGGAATGGTGGGGGTATTAACATTCAGTCCACAGCAGGAGGATCCATGCAAGCAAACTCTCTGGGTCTGTGTCAATAGAAGCAAATAGTTGGAGTAAGGGAGGGAACTTGTAGATCCGCTTATGTCTGCAGAACAGATCCCATCTGGAGTCCTGCCTCCTGCTCTGAGGTCATGTTGACAAAGGGCCATGACATAGACAGAGGTGGCAACTGGGAGAGCCAAGTTCAGGAGGAGCGACTGAATGGGAATGGTTGGATGAGGCGGCTACAGATCGGGACATGGGTGGAGGGGACACAGAGGAGTCGCACTGGTGTGACAGTTACACCAAAAGATGCTATTGGGATACAGCCTCAGTGCTGGCACTGAGATGGAGCCCCAAATCCCACCTTGAAAGTTCTCACCTAGAAGTAGAGGCAGTGGTCTGCTTCTGAGCAAGAGCTGAGGGTGGGGTGAGTCCAGACTTCTGCCCTCCACCCCATGACCCTCACCAGAAGCCCTAGACTTGCTTCTCCCCTGACCTGTCTTTGCCACACCCTACTCTGTCCTCTAAAGAAGATGGTGTGGAGTGTTTGCTAGGACAGCTGCACCACGCAGTATCTCTGTTCTTCAGAACCACCCTCTGAGGCATGGATTTTTTTATTTATTCATACAGAACTGGGGTACAGGCCAGAGACGCGGAGGGTGAGAGAATTCACCAGGGACAGAGTGGGGAGCAGAACAGGCAGATGGACGAAGTACACTGCTGAGGGGAGCAGCGGGCAGGTCAGGAGAGGTCTGCCACGCCATGTGGTCACCTCATAACCACCCTTCTCTTCCCGCTGCAGGCAGCCGATTGGCATGGAACATGGCCTTGTTCTTGGTGCTCTTTGTGTGGCTGTCTTCTGCCTTCTGGGCAGCTCTGCCCCTCCTGGGCTGGGGCCACTATGACTATGAACCGCTGGGGACATGCTGCACCCTGGACTATGCCAAGAGGGACAGGTGAGGTGGGAGGAGCAACTTCCAGGCCCCTCCCAAGAGAAGCTTGACTTTGAACGCTTCTGACAACAGCGTCACAGTTGAAAATCCAGATGGGGAAATGTTAACAATTCCCAGGTAACCTTAATCGCATAGTGATGATACTCACAAGCTGAGAGTGGAACAAAGGAAAGAGCGGCCAAGTGATGGAAGCACAGATTTGGAACCAAAGCAGGGGCATTGGACTCAGTTATTGGCCCTTGTTGGTCATAACAGTCACTGAGCTTTTTGCCAATCTTTTGGGCAATCTTCAACTCACCATGCTTTCCCATCTTCAGCCCCTCAGCTGCCCCAGCTCCAACTTTATCAACTTGGAGAGGGAAATGTGTACTTGATTTAATAGGTTAAAAGCATGTTAAGGTATTTATTCTGGGAGGGGCCTCCTCGGCATGGAGTTCAGTTCTGTGAATTGCCCAAGTATGTGCTGTGAGCCTTGGGCCAGCCAGGATCAAATGCATGATGGCCCCCAACAACATGAATCACAGGCCTAGCACTGCCCCTTCCACAGGGCTCTGGGGAAACCAGGGGAACTAGAGAGACACTTCAGGGTCACATGGGCTCCAACCCCCTCTTACATCTGCTGGGGCCACATTGCACTTGTCTGCTTAACATTACTCACACTTACAAAGCATCTTCCCCGTGACAAGCTTTGCAGGAGAAATCCACTGGAAAGTCCTGGTTCTAGACCAAGTATTTCTCCTGGGCACTCACTGTGGGTGTTTCCCCAGCTGGTGTCCAGTTCCTCCAATTGGATGTCCTTAATGAACAGCTGTAAGTGACACAGCCCCTGCTTTATGAAATGGAACTCTCCCTCCCACCTGCCTCCCCATGACCACTACCTAGGACCCTGGCTCTTCTGTGGCCCCTTCAATGATGTCCTCAGTGTCAGTGTCTAGCCTGTCATCTGCAGACACCTTTCAAGTCCCTGTGCCTAGAATACTTCTTCAGTGCTCCATCTTTTGGGTCCATTGTCATCTCATCCATATGATAAACACATCTCCCAACCTAAAGCATTCCATTCTCTATGCTTGGGAGCAAGGCTGAGCATTTGAACTTCCCCTCAGCAAGCTAAAGAGGAACTCCCCTCTTGTCAGCTTTCTAGCTCAAGGGCAGTTCAGCAGGGCCCCACAGGCTCCCACACCCTGAGCACTAGTCTGATGGGAGCAGCCCTCCCACTGACTGTCCAGTGCAGAGGTGATGGCCTTTGAGGGGAGGTGATCACTGCAGAGAAACAATGTTCACCCCTCACCCGCTCTGCCTGCAGAAACTTCATCAGCTTTCTCATCACCATGGCTTTTTTCAACTTCCTCCTGCCTCTCTTCATCACATTCACATCCTATCAACTCATGGAACAGAAGCTTGGGAAGACTAGCCATCCTCAGGTAAGGATCAACTCCTAGAGCGGGAAAGACCTCTCTGCCTCTCTTGGGGGCCCCAGGGAATATGAATGATGTATTAGACAACAATTAGGTGGTCCAACAATCAGGAGAAAATTCAGCCTTCATAAAGCATGGGGTTTTGGGGGTAGCAATATACACCCCTTCCCTTCTCTCCCCCCTGCCCCAGTGCTAAGTAAGGATCACAAAGAGCTGGGAGGAAGGATTAGGTAGCTCAAACTCTCTCAGGTCCCTTAAGCCTGAGAAGCAGGGTGCCCTGCTGTACACCATAAATGCTGTTACATTTCATTCTTTCCAAGGATTTAAGGATTGACACCACATACATGCTTTCTAAAAGCTTCTTTAAACTATTTTGAGATGTTTAATTTAATTACAGACACAGGCTGTTACCCACAATATAAAATCACACCTGCAAGCACATTTATCCAAGAAAAACAATCTACTTCAAAATAAACCCTCCTGGTCATTTCTGAATTTATGTGTTAATATTCCCACACCACAATTTCCTTTTAAGTTTATCACATGGGCAATTTCTAGTAGATGAGCCTTCGTCAGCACCAAGGTTTTTTCTTTTTTTTAGAAAACACTAATTCTATGTATTATGCTATTTCATCTTTGCAAGCACTCACTGAAGAAGGAAGGTTTCACTATCCCTATGTCAGACTAGAACACTGGGACTGAAAGGGGTTTAGCAAACTAACTCTGCAAACACCAGGGAACTAGTAATTAGAAGAACTGGCTCTAATTCAGGTCCGGATCTCTACAGCCTAAGTGGTTAATTCTTGGTATTTCAAAACCATTCTGTCGAGAACTTTAATCTGCTGCATTAGCACATTTTCCCCCTGTGACCTGGAGAAGGAATGTATCAAGGGATTTTAGCTGGAGACCCAGGACCCCCTGAGCTCACAGAAGGGCAAGGCTGTGGCAGACCAGACTTACATCTCTGGACTCCAGGCTCTGGGCTCTGGGCTGGCTGGATCAACACAGCCTCCTTGTCTCAGGCTGCTGGTGCTCAGCATCGCCACATTTATTGAAGGTTCAATCAGCCAGGAAACAAAGCCACCACACGGAGTTTCTCACTTTTCCTGGTTGACCTTAAACCATCAAATCTGGTATCATAAGTGGGCACCACAAGCTACCCAGGGACCTCAACTGCCTGCTGATGGGTTTCCTGAGGTGACACTGTCTCTCCTCACTGAGAGGTCATTTCGTCTTGTGAAAGCAGCTTATGCACTTTTTTTTTTTTTTTAATGAATGCAGAACAACTCAGGAGGAATAACCGTCTCTTAGTCAACATATTTCAAAATCAAAAATTCAAAATTCCATGAGGAAAATGTGTCCTTTTTCTACTTGAGTCATTTTTCATCTTCTTCATTTAAAAGATACATGAGCAAAAAAAAAAAAAAAAAGGAGAGAGCCATGAGCCATGAGAAAAAAGGCTCTGATTTTCGCAGCGTCAGAATTTTACCATCTGTACATGGGGAACAGCTAAGTTCCATCCTGAAATTGAGCGTCAGTCGTGTGCCCCTTTGTGGTCTCAAATGGTGGCACTCGCCGCTTGCGCGTGGACTCCTAAAGTGGTCAGGGGCCCGTTGGACAGGCAGCTGCCTAGTCAGTGGCTGAAGTTGCAGATGCCAGCTGGTTCTGGGACTGAGATGTGAGTGCACCTCGGTCTGGGGGAGACTCTCAGGCACACAGCCTCACTCCCAGAGCCCAAATTTCTTCAAACTGAGCACAGACCAGCAAGAAAGTTCATTATGCCCCTCATCTCTGCCTCCGGCCAAGTCAGGTAATACCAGGCCATTTCACAGGCAAGGTGACTGAGCTCAAGTTAGTTTTAATGACAGGCTTAGGGTCACACAGCTTAAACAGCAAAGAAGTTATTTAGTCCCAAGTCCCTTCAGAGGCTCAGCACTTCCCCACAGCCTGGACATGTGACCCAGCCCTGCTGAGGGCCAACCTGGTCTCTGGTCTCAGGGGGCTGCCAGCACCTGCACCAAGCCCACACCTCCCCCTGCAATGATTTCTCTGCAGGTGAACACCTCTCTGCCCGTCAGGACGTTGCTCCTCGGCTGGGGCCCCTACGCCCTCCTGTATCTCTATGCAGCTGTTGCAGACGTGTCCTCTGTCTCCCCCAAGCTGCAGATGGTACTGACCCCTCACTGTCGTGATATATGTTTTCCCCATCCCTCTCTGGCTTCATATCGCCTCCCTGCTAGTCTCTTTCTCTTTCCCATCGGCCCCTATTAAGGCACTGTGTGTTTTCTCTCCCCTGGGCTGCTGCATGCCAATGCTGGGCCAAGCCAGGTGCTGGACCATCAGCCAGACAGAGAAGGGGCCAGGCTGAGACCTGTTTCTGGGGAGGCATGTGCTTCTCTTCCTCCTCTGCCAGATGGGAAAGGAAGGTTCAGAGGCTGTAGAGCCAAGTGGAGGATGCACCATGGGTGACCGGGGAAGGGGAAGGCTGTCACCCGCTGGGACCAGGGAGAGGAGCTGATGCCTTGAAGCTTCTTCTCAGGAGTTTTCTGCCACAACAGGTGCCCGCTCTCATTGCCAAAATGGTGCCCACAATCAATGCCATTGACTACGGCCTGGGCAGTGAGATGGTCCAGGGAATCTGGCTGTGCCTCTCGCCACAGAAAAGCAAGCAGGTCCGAGCCCAGTGAGCCTCTCCGTGGGACTGCCCAGGCCCAGGACCAGCCCTGCCACCTGGATGAGCACTCCTGCCCCTAACTCCTGCCTCCCCAGTCACTGAAACCAAGCTCCAGTTGCTTACCCACCATCTCGATAGCCCTTTGATGATGGCAGACACAGGGGATTCCTTCTGTGAGAAGCCAGGCAGCATGGAAAGAGTAAGGCTTTAGAAGTGGCCAGACTGAGAGTGTTCTTAGCCCTCTACAAGGAGGCTGGGAAAACTTGGGAAAGTCATTCTCAACTGAGCTTCCTGACAGTGCATACAAGGATGTAAACATGGACTCCACAGGGGTGTGTGGGCTTCTGCAAAATGATGAAACTGCTCATTGCAACTGGGACTGAGTCTTACATCATAGGGGTGCAAGCCCAGGTTTGCTCGTGGGAGCCTGATCCAGGCGGTTCAAACACCACCCATTAAATCATGATCTGATGCAAGTTACTTAACTCCACCTTGACCATGTCTCCCAGCTTGTGACATGTAATGACATCATGGTGACTTGTCTGTGTAGGAAGGACTGGAATGTTACCAGCACATTAAGTGTGCACTGAGATTTAGCCACCAGCCCACCAGCCAGACAGCCAGCTGCCTGTTGCCTACTTGCCAACATTAAAAAATCAGGACAATTTATTTAAAGCTCCAGATGGCTGAAGATAAAGCCCAGCCAGCTTTCTTCCATGGTGGCTCTGCCCTTTGCCCAGGTCATATTCTCTCCCTTCACCTGCAGCTTGTGTGTTCTGAGGAGGCTGTGGACATCAGGGTTTGTGACACAAACTCTGGGGTCCCATCCCTGGAGGTACATCTCTACCTCCCTCTGGAATTAAGGAAGCCTGCTCAACAGATGTTGAATGAACAGCTGCCTCATACCACTGTGAAGACAGAATGGTGCCATACCAAGATCCTCTGCAGTGCCTTGGGAGCCCACGGCACCATGGCTCTTCATGGCATTTGAGAATAAAGCAGGTGCTACCAAGACTAAAAAGTCAGCAGCGGAGCCTGAGGCTGGGCTGTGTCCAGGGGAGGGGACTCAGGCATAGACGTGGGCCATCAAGGTCACTCAGAAATTCCCTTCAGAATCTGCCTACTGAAAGGTGGGGAGGGGGTGAGGGAGAGAGAGGGCCCCTGCCTGGTTAGCACCCCCCCACACACACACATTAGTTATAGCCTAAGTTATATCTGTATTCTCTCTTAAAAAGTAAGGGGATCTTGAAATTTTTCCACATAGAGAAATAAAAAAAAAATGAGGTGCATCTCATTTATTTATATCTTTCTCCTTGCCACAAGATCAATACCATTTTCACTGTTTTCCCTATCAGACACTCTTAGGTCAATTTGCTCAAATATGGGTTCGCTCCACTTCCTACCAAACTGCCTCCCTTATTGTGTTCCCTGTCTCAGAAAATATCACTGCTGTCTATCACGCAAGCTAAATAAAGAGAAAAGAAATGGAAGAAAAGTAAATATCTATGGCAATATGCTTTAATACTTCCCAGGCAGTTAGAACCGCACAGAGCTCAACTGCTACCACGAGGTGGCAGTGCTGTCTCAGTGATAAATTCATCCGGGCCTCCAGCTCTCGGGACTGCCTTAAAAGAGCCTGGGAGTTCCCAGACAAGGCCATGTGGGTGAATTATTGATTTCTGCATGATCTTAGACAAGCTTTCTTTCCCGCTCTTGGAACAAAAGAGTGAAGCCTGTTTTCCACTTCAAATGGTAAGTGATTCTACAGCTCTCTTCCTTGATGGGAACAGAATTGCCTGCCCACTGGCCGGGAGACTTCCATTGAGCCCCACAAACTCCCCTTTTCTCTGCCTATAAAAGTCATTGAAAGTCAAACCAAATGCAAATCCCCAAAGTTCTCCTGTGTGTAGGATTTGGCTATAATATCTGGGCCTAGGTTTTGCCTCTAATTGTGAGACGTTGGGGACGTCCCTGAATTTTTCTGACTTGATTGTTCATCAGGAAGGAGACTGGACAGTACCTGAAAATTTTTACTAGTGGGTGCATGCTGTAAATTTTGGGGTGCAGGACAGGAGGGTGTTCCAAGTGCTTCAGTTGCCTGGAGAAGTAACAGAAGTCTCAGGGGATGTGCAGTTAATGGCATTTGGTGTTTCTAAGGGAACAGGCCCTGCAAAAGCCCTGGGTAAGCCAAAGACATAATCCCTAAATTTTCCCGCTCTTCTGGATGGGGTAACTTGCTGCTCCCCCCACCCCCCCCCCCCCCCCACTGCTCCCTGGCTCTGACACCACACACCTGTTCTCCTCAACCAGCCAACTGCTTCCTTAACAGCCTCATTGTCTCCACCAGGCTTCCTCAGCTCAGCTGCCCTCTCTCTGCAGCTGTGGAGACACATGCACATCTTTTGCCCTCTGGGAGAGAGGCGGTGTGGCAGCATGGCGTGCTGAGGGGTTTGCGTATTAGAAGGACCTGGGCATAAGTCCAGATTTGCCAATTATTTGGTGAGTGACCACATTTCTTATTGCAAGTTTGTTCCACTCTCAACAAATTTTTTTTTATCAGTGGTTAATTTTATTTTTTTTAAAGATTTTATTTATTTATGCATACAAGAACTGGAATGTAGGTCAGAAGTTCAGGGTGTGTGTGTGTGGTGAGGGTAAGGATCCACCAGAGACAGAGTGGGGAGCACAGACAGATCCACTGAAAATCGCTGCTGAGGGGAGCAGCGGGTGAGACAAGCGAGGTCTGCCTGGCCATGTGCATCACTTCCCTGGCCAGGATCAAACTCATGCTACAGTAGCAAGCTATAGCTTGATAGTGCTGAGAACTTAACCCCTGCACCATCAGAGAGGCCCTGGAGTGGTTTATTTTAAAGGCTATGACATATAGTCGGTGCTCAATAAAGGCTACATTTCCCCCATGGGTGACCTTATCAGCTCCTCCTTGCTATCCTCTGCCTTTTTTTTTTTTTTATTCAGTTGCTCAAGGAAGGGGTATATAGATGAGTTTGATAATTCAGTGACGATAACTTCCATCATGGCTCCTTTAACCCCCATGACATCCTCAGAGGTGTGCGTCTCAAATTTGTCTGCACATTAGTCTCCTGGGGCCCGGTGATTCAAAGTGTGGTCCCTGGACCAGAACATTAGCCTCTTCGGGGTGCTTGTCAGAAATGCATCTCCACCCCATCCTAGCCCCAGATGCAAATGGACTTTTAGCACCCCTTCCCCAAGTGACTTGTGTGCACCTTAAAACTTGAGACTTACTACAGAACTTCGCAGGCCATGGAGTTTCTGATGTAATTGGCTTGAAGGGTTAGCTGGGCATGGGAATGTTTAAAGCTCCCAGGTGATGCTAACATGAAGCAGGATTAAGAGCCACTAATTTTGAGGGAGTGTATAGACGCCTTTATGTGGTGTGAAGAGTGATTTAGCTGAGATTTACTCTGAGTCATCTCTGAGATCATTTTTGCTGTTTTGTGGATATATAAATGCGTGTCTGCATCTATATTTTTCTCTGACAATCCATTTCTTTCTTGCTCAAATTTGTCTGCACATTTAAGTCTTCTGGGCATCTGGGGACCAGATGCATTAGCCCCATCTGATCTATGTCTTACTCTGATCTCTTCCTTACTGATTCCCCAAATTCTGAAACTTCTAAACACAGGAATTCCTTGGCTCAAGACTTCTTGTTTTGTCACTGTGGTACCATTCATGGGATAGTAAGGGCAAGTTTGTAAATGATGGCAAGACTAGCACACTAAGAGTTTCTACATTCTGCTTAAGGGCCAGCTGGACATGGAGCAGGCTGACTCTTGACTACTGGACCAGAGATTTTCAGGTATCTGTGCAAATACTGTGTTGCTAGGTGGCAGAGAGTAATTCCCCTTAACCTAGAAGGTGCTCACAAATCACCCAGAATCTTTAGTGTAGACTCTGATTCAGCTGATCTGGGTGGGACTGAGCCTGTTTTTCTAACTAGCCCTTGGGTGAGGCAGATGCTGCTCAAGCAGAAGCTGTAGTGTGTTGTGTGTTTCGCTGGAAAGTGCACTGTGGTCTATGATCCCAGCTGCCTCTCCTTGGCTCCCAGTAGCTGCCTGGGGTGTTCACTTGTCTCTCACCTGCAGGGTGATTCAGAGCGTTGTTGCAGGTGAGTCATAAGGCCATACAGTTCCCCTAACTGCCATGCCAAGCCTTTGCTTGCCACTGGGCGGCGCTCTGGGAACATCCCTCTAAGAGATTTCAAGTTTCTAAACAGCTCTTGGGTGCTCATTCAACAAATATTTATTGAACCTAATTATAAATCAAGACAGAATTTAAACAAGACAGACAAGGTCCTCCTGAGGGGCTTACAATTCTAGCGACAATGAACAAGTAAAGGTGTAAAACAGATCATTACAGATTGTGGTAGGCTCTCTGGAGGAGGTAAGTAGGGAATTGGGCAGGATGGTCAGGAAAGACACTTCTAGTAGCTCAGACTTAAAGGATGAGAATAAGGCAGTAGAGCTTGTGGGTGGGAAGCAGGGTAAAAGGATGTCAGGCAGAGAGAACCGCAAGGCAGAAAGCACCAGACTGAACAACATAAAAGCATGAGGCTGGAGCAGAGAGGATCAAGGAGAAGCACAGAGATGTAGAGACCATACCCAGTGGGGGATATCCCTCCTTGGGTGAAATGAAGAAAAGCAATTTGGTTTTATTTTAAGAGCAGACAAAAGCCTTTGAAAGGTTTTTTTTTTTTTTTTAAAGATTTATTTATTTATTCATATAGAGCTGGGGTACAGGCCAGAGATGCGGAGGGTGAGAGGCTTCACCAGAGACAGAGTGGGGAGCAGAACAGGCAGATCGACGAAGCACACTGCTGAGGGGAGCAGCGGGCGGGCCAGGAGAGGTCTGCCGCGCCATGTGGTCACCTCCGGGGCAGGCGGGGATCGAACTCATGCGGAAGTGGCTTTAGATTCTCAGTGCTGTGCTTTAACCCGCTGCGCCACCAGGGAGGGCCCAGCCTTCGAAAGCTTT